AGAGCCAGTGTGGTGTAGTGTTTAAGAGCGATAGACTCGTAATCTGGGGAACCGGGTTCGCGTCTCCGCTCCTCCACATGCAGCTGCTGCGTGACCTTGGGCTAGTCACACTTCTCTGAAGTCTCTCAGCCCCACTTACCTCACAGAGTGTTTGTTGTGGGTGAGGAAGGGAAAGGAGAATGTTAGCCGCTTTGAGACTCCCTAGGGTAGTGAAAGAGCGGGATATGAAATCCAAACTCCTCTTCTTCTTCTCTTCTACCATAACTTGCTATGTGTCATCTGGTGGCAGTTCAAAAGCTGACTTCCTCCATGGTGGCGTTCACCCTTTGGAAAACTCTCTCTCCCTGTTATTTGGAAGGCATGGGCTGTCGAGTCATTTAGTAAAAAAAACTGTTTGCTTGGGCTTTCCACCACCCTTCTGCCCAATATTTGTGATTATTTAAATTGTTTTAAAATGCACATTTACACTTATGCATTGCTTTGTAATAGGTGCAGTACAGATTTATTTATTTAATACTATGTCTATCATGCTTAATGCTTACATTCTCTAAGAATAGCTAATATGCATGCCACAGTCTACTGGAGTAAATTTGGCAGCAACATACACGAGAACCCTTTTGGCGGCAGTGCTCCAAATGTGGGGAACCTTTTGATCCCAAAGCTTAGATTATCTTCCTCTTTACTTGTGCCCTGGAGAAATTTGATGACTTTGCTTTGTTAGCATGCACTGTAACTCTATTGCTGTTTCTGCTACGCAGAAGTAGGCCATAGTGAATTCAATGGGGCATACTCCCAGGTAAGTGAGAGTAAGGTTGCAACCTAATTGCAGTATCCAACGAAGTAGTGCCAGTTGGCGCAAGGACATCGTGGCACAATGGAACATCCTCTCCCACCTCTTTCCCCCAGCAACCCCAGCTCTGGGGCTTTCCACAACCCTCTGGAGCAAATTTGGGGAAGGTACGGGGAGGAGTTATTAGTATCGAGTTATTATTTATGCTAGTTTTTAGTCGAGTGATGTGCTGTTATTCATTTGACTATTTTAACTGATGAGGGTTATTATTATTTTTACCTGAGATGTTGCTTGTTACACTGTTAGTCACTTAGAACATCTCTGTTGCAAAGCAGAATAGAACTGGTATAAATTAATAAAATAAATAATAATAAATAACCATGTGGTGGTAGTATTATCTCCTAATGTTCCATGAAAATCTGAATACAAGTGGAAAATGCCTTAATATTTGCAGAAGGTCTCACTCTTCCACCATGCAATGAAGTACTGTACTATATATTCTGTTGCCTATATACTTACTACGTGACATGTCTCAGCCTAAGAAACAGGGTGGATTCAATAGGCCTTGCTTCCAAGTAAGCATGCACAAGATTGCATCCTCACAGCACACCCCATTGTCTACCAGGTTCAATGAGGCTCCCTAGAATGGTGTTTAGGCTTGCAGTCTCAGTGACTTACCATAGAAACACTTTGCTATTAAATGGGAATGGTTTTCAATTGAACTACTCAAGAAGAGCAGGTATATTCCAAAGGCTGTAATTCTATGGGAACAGATGCCACCATACTCAAAGGAATTTACTTTTGAGTAAACATGCATAAGATTGGGCTGCAGGTCAGTGGCAGAATTTTGAAAGAGTCAGTGTACTTATTTAAGTAACATTGTAAATCAGAGGAATTATTTCACAATGGAATACCTTCTATAGCGCAAAGCTTACTATGCATCCTGTATATAATTTCCCGAAAAGAAAACTTACCATCTTCAATGGGGCTTACTCCTAAGTAACCATACATAAAATTGCAGCCTTGATCCATGCATTGTTCTTGCGCTTACCTAGATGCTTTCATGACGCACTGTAATTAGTTTCCTTCTAAATACAATAGGACTGCTACTTAAAGTCATGATAATTAAATACTGCAGTTTATGGCATAATGTAACAGGAAAAAATGCAATGTTGTTGTTACCAGGCTACTTAATGGTATTCATTGAAATTAGAACTTATTCAAATCAGAGTATTGCTAGGCATATGTGCCCAGAAAAATGTGTGCCTGCTGCAAAGTTCATTTCTGCTTTCCCAAGTTATAAAGTGGCCTTTATATGGTTAAAAGGGAGTTCTCAAAATGTACAGTCTGGTGACTGAAAAACACTGCAACCCTTCTGTCTTGACTCTAAAGGCAGGCACACAAAGCCTCTCTCTTAGAGCAATACAAAATGTCACCACAGGCTGACGCTCTTTCTACAAGAATAATGAGACATTCTCCACAGTGAAGGAAGAACACAGTTCACAGTTTGCTTCCCTTGATTTCAGTGCATGCACAATGAGACAGATAGAAAATCAGAAACAGAACTGCCCAGGTTGTTTTGAAGACACTTCAGTACTTTCCTGTTTGCTGAAATCCCAAGAAGCTTGAGCAAAACTGAACTTTCACTTACAGCCCGCTTACTCCAGAGATTTCCAACTGACCTATTCTGCTCCGGAAGAAAAGGAATGTAGATGGGAATCCACATTCACTTGCACGCAATGCTACTCATAATGTTAGAAGAACTAATATTCATAGGGCTGTTTTCAAAAATTCAGTGGGCAAATTACAGCTCTAGGAGGTACTGTCAGGAGGACTTTGACATAGGAGAGCTTCAACCCTTTGCAGGGGGTGGGAGTTAAAAGACTCACAAAACAAACAAATGAGCTGCATGCTCCAAAATCGCCAGCCCTGAATAACAGCCATAGGTATTGCAAGGGAGCTTTTCTGGCTCAGTATGTTGTGATCAGTCGAATTCAATCAGAGGTGTCTATCCTACCACCAATGCAAAGCTCAGGCTGACTGACTCTGGGTGAGAATTAGAACAAATCTCTCTCACTCATTCATACATATGAACAAAGTCTAACCCAAACTGTGAGGTGGAACTACTCCCAGAAAGGCAGGAAAGCCTTTCTGCTATTCCTATGTATCCACATTTGCAGACACAGATACAATGGCAAGTCTCTCTTTAAGCATCAATATAATAAGCCCCTTAAAGTATTAGTGATTGAAGATGCACAATCCAAAGTGACACGCCTCACAGATCTGCCTTTAGCTGGGAACTAGCGTCGGTTTGAATTATCTTGGTTGCTATTTAAGAATCTTACCTCCCTCCCCATAGCCCCTTCTCTCTCTCTCTCTCTGTCTCTCTCTCTCAACACACACACACACACACACACACACACAGCAAATCAACACACAGAGAGATCTGCTTGTCATAGGTTTCCTAACAAACGCAGGTGAGGTCACCTCTTTCTGCTCCCTCTCCAGCAGCACAGCCAGAAAGGCAACTTTGAAAGGGAGACGGGTGAAACCCACCCAGCTAGAGGCTTTTCTGTTTCCGACAGATCTTGGAGGATTCCTCTGGGAGCTAAACGGGTGCTGGCAACCACAGAAAGCAGATTTTGTTTGCTTTCACAATACAACGAAAGCAGCCGGGGGGAAATGGGGGGGGGGATAGTCCACAAACTGTAATGGAGAAAATGCTGAAAACTTAACCAGCATATATTCGGAGGTAGGGTGAGGGAAATAAGAAAAGTATGCAGGGCGAAAATATTTAATACTGGTTTCTACGTACTAATTTGAGCTGAAAATGGGGTACGTTCCAAAAGGACTACGAATCGCAGTGGAAGTGTCATGTAGCCCGATCCTAAACCAGATTACCCCTCCCCCGTTTTCAGTGAGGCTTCTCCAAGACATGTAACAGGATCGGAGCCTTGCAATGCTAGAGGGTGGGTAGGTGGGTGGGAAATGAACACACCATCAAAAAAACAACACCTGAGCACTATATTAAAGCATCCCTCAAAAAGCACCCACTACCACTACAATCCAATGGGTCTGCGCAGCAGCCGGTCTCTCTGAGTAAAGGGGCGAAGTCCCACTGAGTTCAATAGGCACAGAGCTGAGGGTTTGGGGGACAAGCCTGTTTTAATCAGCAATGCGATCGATCCTCGCCAAATCGCAACTACGTACTGCCGCCGCCGCCACTACCAAACGCTGGAAATCTCCATCGCCAGGCGCGAGCCTGCCACGAGATCACAAGGGAGGAAGCGGAGAGTCCGACGGGGCGCGCGACCCGGAGCCAGGCAGACCCACCACCTGCAGCCTCCTCCGCAGGGCTCGCCCCTGTCCGCCCCCACCGGAAAGTTCCGGAGCAGCTCCCCCGCGCGCGGCTACCGGGCGCGCCCCCCCCCACCTGCGCCTCGCCGGAGCCCCGCACTCACCTGGCCGCAGGCAAAGGGCAGAGAGCAGCAGGCTGAGCAGCAGGAGAAGCCGCGAAGGCGGCTGCAGCGGGCGTCGGGGGCAGCAGCAGGCGGCGGCGGCGGCAGAGGGGGTCTCCATCCCGCCTCCCCGCCAAGCGAACGGCGACTTCGGGCGCTGCCACTCCTCAGGCGAGGGGACGAAGGCGCGCAGACGGCGGCTCCTCCTCGCGCGCGCTCTCTCTCTTTCGCTTTCCCTCAGACAGCGCGCACAACGACGACTACTTCTCTCTTTTTGCTTTTTTTACTCCCCTCCACCCGGTCCTCCTACAAAGCGAAACTCCCGCCGGGAACTTTCTAGGCAGAAGTTGGAAGCGCGGCGGGCGAGCGAGCGAGCGGCAAGCTCCGGCGGTCCCTGCGAGCGACGAGGAGAGAGCGAGAAGCAGCGAGCGGCTCGCCGGCCCCGACTGCACACGAGCAGGTGGCTCTTTCCCTCTGGCAGCCTAGCGGCGCTCCAGGACCGAGAGCGGCGAGCGGAGGCGGGGCCAGCCCAGGGAAGGCACGCCCCTTCCCCCTCGCTCGCGTGGCCCCGCCCGCGCCGTCTGCCGAGAGCCCTCGGGTCCGCTCGGCTCTCCCGAGTGCGAGGTGCTCGGCTGTGGGAGGAGGGAGCCAGAGGCCGCGGCGACTGCGGGGCGGGGGGAGAAGCTTTTCCCATTGGCCCCGCAGGGCGCGCTCGAGGCGTGGGGGGGGGGGCAGAGAGAGAGAGGCTGCTTAGAGCCCTTGCTGAGCGGAAGGAAACGTTGCTGCTGAAGCGTCCGTGGGGTTTGGGGGGCGTCCTCGTGCACCATAGTTTTAAATCGCCGCTTGGGACCCGGGGGTAGGGCTGGGGCGTGGCAACTTAGGGAGCGAGCCGGTTGCAGGAGGCTGGAAGTGCATCGAAAGGGAACAGCGCGGTTGGGATTCCGAGCTGGAGATCCTCACGTGCTGTGGGATCCCATAGGCGCGTTTGCGGAGAAGTAAGTCCCACTGTGTTCAGCGGAGCTTGCTCCGAGGGAAGGGCGCGTAGGATTGCAGCATTATAAAGCTCCCAGATCGAGCGGAGAAGTGCGTGGAGACGCGGTGGGTGAAGGAAGCTTGACCATTTCGAAGATGAAATGGCTGGCACGTGAATTGCTTCTCTAGATTGTCCTCCCCGTGGTCTGAGCTGGCCTGGGCTTAGACCGTCCTTTGTCAGAAGCAGGAAGCTGGGTGATGCAGGATGTATGTACAACGTTCATCGGGAAAAGTAGGAGCCAGCAGAAAACTCGAGCCACCATGAATTAAAAATCCGAGACGCATCTACCTGAAATCCTGTTCACGCTTTTTTGTTGGTAAATCCCAGTGAATCCAGTGGGACTCCTCTCCATACATAAGGGCAGGGCACTAAAGGGCCAAAGAGCTTTTGGATGCTTTAGCTACAGCAGGCTTAACCACGGTTTCTCTTCAGGAGCTTCATACCAAAAGTGCTTCAGCAGCCTGACTCTACAGTGAACAGAGTCTTTCAATTCTTAAACTGATCTTTTCCCAGGAGTTTTGCTGCCTCTGTGATCCCAGATCTTACCAAAGACTTCAGCTGACAGCTCAATCGGTATGAGATAGATGGAAAGGGTGAGTTGGGTCTGGTTTAGTTAGGGAAACTGTTCTTACATTCTCAGCTCTGCACTGCCAGCCCCTTGATCCTTCCCTGGAATAATCTCATTGATTTTAAAAGGAACTAAACAGAAACTGGTTTCAGGGCAAGTGCATCATCTTTTGCGGCTTTCCTGGATTGTGCCTCTTAGCCTTTTTATTTTGCTGTCTCTGATGGCTTGGAGTAGGTTACATACACACACACACAAACTGAAATGCTGAAATGCTGATATTATATTGGGACACAGTTTTCCTAGTAAAACACCTGCCCACAGCCCAATACACACCTGTGCAATTGTTGCACCGCTGATCTATGAACAGACTCGATGCTTATTTTTCCTACATGATATCCCCTCGCTTGTTAGAAAAGCAGAACATGTGAAGTGGTCCCGGATGCTTTGCAGAATCAAGCGGATGGGGGGGGGGAGAGCATCCTTGTATCTCGGTAGCACAGATGTACTTTGCCCTGCTATGCCTTTGACAACAGGGATTTAAAACAGAATATTTCTGTTTTATCTGAATGAAGCCTTTCTTGTGGCAAAAGCTCTTAAAAATATCAATTTAGAATGCTTAAATTGACAATGCACATAGGTATATATAATATACCATGGGGAAATTTGCACAAAGAGAAGAAGAGGCTGAATGCACGCAGGCTAGGGACTCGCTAGGGATCACACACGCATGAAAAGGATAAACAACTGGGAAACTTCTCCTTCCATATCTCAGGAGTCTGGAACTGCTGGACTCTTTGGTTACCTGAGTAGCTTCATAACCATAGTGGTTTTGCACTATTGTTCACTTGCCTTATACTGCTGATTCCTGAATTTTACGAGTGGTTGAACTGGAAGCTGCTCATTTAGCACCAACTCTTTGAGTGGTTAATGTGGGGTAAGGGAGTATATTTGCTCTGCTTCCACATAGCATATGTGACAGTTCCAGGTCCTAATGGCATTCCTCCTTCCAATATCTTAGACTCTGCTCCTTCAGTGTAAAGACTTATCTGAGGGGTGATTAATTAGGAACATTGTAAATGCTTCACTCCATTCCATTCCAAACAATCAGAACCCTTAAAAACATACAGCATAATTAATGATGGTGGCAGTAATGCCCACCTCCAAGATACCATAAACTGTTATGGACTCTAACAAGCCAATTTTCCTCTACTCTTTCCTCAACTCCCCCCAGCCAATATCCTTAACAACACCTCCCTCCTGGAGAACAATTATTATGTTCAGTCATCAGTGTGTGCTGAGTTTTTCTAACACAAATTTAAAATGTTCATTTTTAACACACCTATAGGTTCTCTTGAACACCCCACAACATTTTTTCCCCCCCTGGAGGGCATCCCATTTCCCTGTTGAGCTGATAAGCACGACACCACCTGGTATGGTATGAAAAGTGACAAATAGTGATCCACAATGGGAGTGCTTCTATTAAGGAGCTTAGTAGCACTGTTCAGGGTTCGTGGGAAATGTATTTGAGGGAGGAGGAAGGAAAAATCACAACAGCCTGCACAAGCTCCTAACAGCTTATAGTTAGCATCCTGGAGGGATGAAATTCTTAATGTTATTGCTGGGGTGTCCCCTGAGTATGTGAAAACTACTCCTTTGTCTGTAGGTGGCCCTGTTTCACTGCCCAGCTGATAGGAATGGGACCACCAAGTTCAGCATTAGAAAGGATGATTGCAGAACAAGATTTAATGAACCAGTAAGCTTCCTTGCACCTAAGGCAGCAAATATTTCTTTGCAAATTAATTATAAGACAAGTGAAGTGATTTCATAATTTCTTATTGAGGCAGGTTGGAAATGATCGTTTTTATGGTGAGATATAGGTGGTCTTACGTTGGCACTGTTTGTTACACGATGAGCGAGACCACTTGAAAAGAAGGTCTGAAAAGACATAGCACATTTCCCTTATGAATAATCTCTCATGTGCTCAGTGTGGTTGGGCTTTACCAGAAGTGATTGCATCTTATTCTAAAGGAAAATATAAAATGAGGAATGGGTGAAAACCCAGTTGTAGACAGTTTGGTCACCAAGTTCATTCTATACCAAGAATGAGTCACTCAGCTCATGCTTTGGTATACTCATAATAATTTCACTATGCCAACATAATATGAAAGTAAGCAGTGCTTTTTTCTGAAAAAATATGTTTAGGGGGTACTCTCATTTTCCTACTCATATTGAAATACTGTACCTCAATGAGGCCAAACTTAGATTCACAACATGTTTAGGGGTATGCTTTTCTCTGCGTCCCCCCAGAAAAAAAGCAATGAAAGCAAGTAAAATAGTTGCAATGCAACAGTGATACTGGGGTATCTGTATTAGAATATTCATTTACTGTATGATGTGGATAGAATGGAAAACACTACTCATATACTCCTATACTTAACTTCCTCATCTCTGCCCACCTACCCCCAAAATCTGCTCCTGAAAATCCTCCCAAAAGGGTGGGGGGCAGTGGAGAAGAGGGGGAACTTCTGTTGCAAGCAGAAGTCTTGTGTGAGTGGAATGGCAGAAGAAGAAGAGTTTGGATTTGATATCCTGCCTTTCACTCCCTTTAAGGAGTCTCAAAGCGGCTAACATTCTCCTTTCCCTTCCTCCCCCACAACAAACACTCTGTGAGGTGAGTGGGGCTGAGAGACTTCAAAGAAGTGTGACTAGCCCAAGGTCACCCAGCAGCTGCATGTGGAGGAGCGGAGACGCGAACCCGGTTCCCCAGATTACAAGTCCACCGCTCTTAACCACTACACCACACTGGCAGCACTGAATACAACCTGTGTTTGTATGTGTGATTATCATGAAAGGTACACAAAGCAGGAATGTCACTGGTTCATCAAGAAGGATTAAGAAAGCACGGACTGAAGCCTTCAGTGAACAGAAGAGCAGTGGTGCAAGCACAGTCTTTGCTAAGAGACAAGGGTGTGCAAATGGAGAGGAAATTTAGAGGTGTCTTTTTCTATGGTGAACATTACATCGACTTTTGTTCCCTAAAATATCAAATCATTACTGCGATTACAGAGTTGGGATGTGAAAATTATTTAAGATACGTATTTGAAATATCTCACTTCCAAACTGTACAACTCCAGTGAACATAATGCATGTGTTTTGTAATGTGTTCGTAACAGGAGGAGAGCGAATAAGACCACCCCCACCCCAAACCCACCCACCCACGCACAGCCACCCCCACCCACCTGCACATACATAGATACCTCTGCTGTGTTTCTGGATTGCTGCCAGTTCTGTGCTTGCAAGTGAGGTTAATGACTGCAGCAGCCTCTTTTTAGTGCAGATGGTGCAGTCCATGCATGGAAATCTATGCCTCTTATTAGAAGAGGGGAAATCACTAGATGTGGCACCTTTCAAATGCCTAGCAATTACTCCCCCCCCCCAATTTTTTTTTTGAAGTAAAGCAGCGGAAGTAACACAAACATTTGGATTTTTCTGTTGATTTTTTTTTTTAGTGGTGAATGTACATGTTATGTATACGTTAGACCCTGGCCCTAATATATTTGTCAGTAGTACCCATATGTAGCACCACAGAAAACAATCCAAGGCCTTTCTTAATAATAATGATACCCAGGGGAGCTAAGCCCAGTAGAAGCATAGGTGCAGCACCGGCACAGAGAGGATTTCCACTAGGAACAACCGAGACTTTGTTTCCCCCATTCCTTTCTCCAGCCATATGCCTGCAGACAGCAAGAGGGAAAGGTCTGTGTTTGCTTCCCATAACTCCATTCAGCCATCTGCTTCTGTGCCATGCAAATTTTTCATGCTCCAGTATATGAATAATTTGCTTGGCACATGGAAACAAGATGAAATGTGGATATGGTAGATTTACTTGGATTCTCCATTTCATGCAATGGCCTTTTGTCACATCGGTACATTGATTATTATATTTTTACCCCCATTTTCTCCCAGGGAGCTCAACAAAACACGTGTGGTCCTTCCCCTGCACACATGCTTTTATATCCAAAACTTGAGAAAAAATAACTGGCCCAGCGAGCTTTATGGCTGAGTAAGCGGTTGAACTTGGCTCTCTCCTGTTGAAGACTGTGTACACCTTATGTCTTTAAAGCACATCCTTTTGCTCAGCGACTTCTGGGCGCTGTAGTTTATCCCTTACAGAGTTAAAGTTCCCAGCAACCTTTAGAAAATCACAGCACCCAGAATTCTTTGAAGGAAAGAAGGTGCTTGAGCATGTTTTAAAGATACAGTGTGTACATAGCCCTAGCCTCCATGCAGATATATCATATTACTTGCAGTATGTAGAAATGAGCTTGTGTGAGAGACTACTGCTGCTGAAATGCCTTGTGCAATGGCTTCATTCTTCAACTGTTAAAATATGAAGAAGATGGTGTTTCAAAAATTCCTTAAATTTACATAGCAGCAGCTAAAGCTGCAGTCTTGTATACCCACCTACATTGTACATAGAACTGCAGTCTAAACTAAAACAGGATTTCCTCCTCAACCCCTGAAAAATGAGAGTGTATAAAGCAGTTTAGTAATGAGAAAATGTTGTTCAATAGTTGTTTAATCCCAGCAGATTACAGGGTTTGCCGTTATCTGACACAATAGACAATTGAATAATCCATAAATGATGAATTATGTATCAATAAAAAAGTTGGCTAAAATTTTCAATTGATAGCTGATTAATGAAATGCTGTGCTGACATTTTAAAATCAAATATCTACTAGGAGGAATGGAAAATATTGATGAGCAGAACACCTTAGAACGCTACTACAGTCTTGTCTATTAAATTCTGTGCCAAGTCCTATATCCCAGAAATTCAAGGATGAAATGAAATGAGGATTGGAATATAGATTCAGTGGATTTGAACATAAAAGCTAAAGTATTCAAAGCCAACTGTCCTGCTCTTCCTCAAAACTTCAAAGAAGATAATTATTTGGTTTATGTACACAGTGTGTTTCACTAGCAAGGTACCTGCACAACCTTTACAACAATCTGAATTGTGAGCTGCATACTGAGTTGTCATCTTCATCAAGCAATGCACTATATCTTGCAGTATTAAATTGCATGTGTAGTTTGGGCTATATTACATGTCTGTATTGTAGGTAGGGATGCAGGTGGTGCTGTGGTCTAAACCACAGAGCCTCGGTCTTGCCGATCAGAAGGTCGGTGGTTCAAATCCCCGTGACGGGGTGAACTCCCGTTGATCGGTCCCAGCTCCTGCCCACCTAGCAGTTTGAAAGCACATCAAAGTGCAAGTAGATAAATAGGTACCACTTCGGTGGGAAGGTAAACGGCATTTCCGTGTGCTGCTCTGGTTTGCCAGAAGCAGCTTAGTCATGCTGGCCGCATGATCCAGAAGCTGTCTGCAGACAAAAGCCAGCTCCTCGGCCTATAGAGCGAGATGAGCGCGCAACCCCAGAGTCGTCTGCGACTGGACCGAACGGTCAGGGGTACCTTTATCTTTACCTATACAGTGGTACCTTGGGTTACAGACGCTTCAGGTTACAGACTCCGCTAACCCAGAAATAGTACCTCGGGTTAAGAACTTTGCTTCAGGATGAGAACAGAAATCGTGCTCCGGCAGCGCGGCAGCAGCAGGAAGCCCCATTAGCTAAAGTGGTGCTTCAGGTTAAGAACAGTTTCAGGTTAAGAGTGGACCTCCGGAATGAATTAAGTACTTAACCCGAGGTACCACTATATTGTAGGTAGTGACTGAATGGCACACACATCATCTACCTTTTTTTTACTATTCTCCAAAATAATTCTAGTAGCACCTTGCACAATAGAGACATGCCATAAACATTGGCTTGGATCCATACTTTGTCCTGACAGGCGCCTCCCAAGCAAAGTTTGGCTCAGTGGATGCTTCCACTGGCAGAACAGGGGAAAGTGGCATTTGTGAATATCTCCCACCTCCTTGCTGCCCCTGCCTTCCTCCAAAAAATCTGCCCGGGATGTTTTTCTGCCCTCCAGAACAGGAGGAATCAGTGAAATAGTTCTTGTCTGCCAGCAGGATCCCTCCACATTTCCCATGGATAGAGAAAACACTTCCGTTCACGGGCAACTCAAGAATATTTCCAAACCATAACATGGTAATTCAGTTAACATCCAGAGACAAGTAAATATTCCAATTTATCCAGCTCCGCTTACATGACATTTCAGTTGAATTTCTTATCCAAGTTGGTTTGGATAATGTCAGAAGTCACCTATATTATTATTTATCTAGATTTTTTGTACATAGCCTGAGGCTCCGGGCAGATAGTCACATTTTCTTATCACCACCTAACAGCCTTCTGAGCTTTATTTCTGTTTTACAGTTAAGAGAACCAAAGGAAAGTGTCTTGCCCAAGGCCACAGAGTAAAACCAAGTTTCCAAGATTATGTCCACTGAACCGCAAGAGCTCAGAGATTGACCCACTGTGCATTCATTATTCAGCTACTATACCAATTATCCAGTCTCTATTAGGTGATATTTTCTTTGACTTGGTAGAAATTGCACAGTGTACTGTGCACAATAATCCAGACAAGTTGGATACTGCAACTATTAATTATAAATTATCAAACTAAAGTTGGATGACACTCAAAGTCAACAACACTATCCAGCTATTTTCTCATTAACTAATTCAAATTGTATGATTTGGAGATGCAGAAACATTGAAATGAAACGGGCTAATGCCCACATCAACAAAATAAAGCCTTAAGGTCACTCAATGAGTGTTGATAGATGATGTGGGTGTTAGCCAAATCCCCAAAAATTTTTCTTCAAATTATGCTTATGGACTTGCAAAGCCTGTAACGTGTAGTTTTTATTTATAAAAGAACCTGCTTATCTTCCCTCCTACATTGTTGTTGATTGCTGCGAACTGTTGTCTGTGCTGCTGTTTCATTCTTCTAATGCTGGATATTGTTTAATTTTTTTTATTTTCAATTATTTTAATTGCACATTGTACTTATTTTAATCATTCTATTGTAACCCACTCTGGGAACATTTGGTGAAGGGAGAGCTATAAGTACTAATAATAAATAAGTTACATTTCTGACTTTATAAATTACTAAGCAAAATATCAAACATAGGAACCACTCCTAAAGTTCTATTGTCAAATGTTCTTTCCACTTCTCTTCTTCCTCCCTTTTGTTCACTTTCCTAATGAATGAATTTCTAATGAATTTTCCTAAATTCATTTTGGGCAGTTTCCTAATGGCAAAGTGGTAAAGTAAGCAAAGTTTACCAGGATGGTAACTAGTGTTCTTTACGAATGTCTTTTTTTCTGTTTTTTTAGAGCAAGAACACAATGATAAGAAAGCTAGGAGTATAAAGATCCTGCAGAGATGAGAGGAAGAGCTAGCAACATATTGTTCTTAGATCAAAGATAGCTGAAAAAACATTTTACCCAGCATAATATTGATTGATCTCAAATTGCTGCAGTTTTGGCATCCATATGGTGCATTTCTTCTCAGTTTAACATTTGGTTTCATTGACAAAACATTATTCATAGCAAATGAAATGAATGTATGTATGTTGTGTTTAGTCCTGTTAAATCGCTACAGCTCTCCAGTGATTTGGAGGTGGGAAGAGGACTGTTTGCCCATTAAAAAAAAATTGTTTCTAAAATGTTGACTTGTGACAAATATAAACAAATTAAATTAATACCAAACAGTTATTAAAAAACTATATATCAGAGTCTTGCCATAAGTCTAATACCTGTACCACATTTTTATTTCTAGCTGGTAGCATTGTGAGGAAATGAAACATTTCCCCTGTTCCATGTGCCCACCAAAATTGCTGTAGCGCTATCCCAACTTGCACCTAAAATAGTGCTTCCCTCAGCATCAACCATCTTGGGCCCTACAATTGGCACTGCTGGGTGTTGCCCTATTGGTGTTCACCACTGCAACAGGACCTTCTCAATTATGGTTCCCACTTTGTGGAATGCCCTCTCTGGTGAGGTGCATCTGTCTCCCTCATTAGTAACACTGAGGAGGCATTTTAAGCATTGCTGTTCAGCAGCGGCAGAGCATATGCCCGCCCTGCCCAGGGCGCATGCACTCCCGAGAGGAGCGGAGCGTGCTGGCATGGGCCGTGGAGGGTGCCTTCCCACATGCCACAGTTCAGGGTAGGAGAGGGGCAGGGAAACTGCTGTTCACTCTTCTCCTGCTCTCCACAGCTGGGTCAGACATGACCCAGCAACGGAGCTGCTGCGGCTGGGTGCGCCTCGTCATGGCTGAGGAGGGCTGCTCTCTGCCGCCGGGTCAGAAGAGCTGCTGCTGCCAGGCGCAAGATGTGCCACCCTCTCGCCTGCCATTTTGTCACCCCCTCAATCATGACACCCGGGGGCGGACCGCACCCCCCCTTCCTACACCTCTGCCAAGCATTTGAAGCCTGAAACACACTGTTCCTGGCAACCTTGAAATTCTTAGCTGTGAGGATCTGTTTTTAGATGTTTGTAATGTTTTTAAGTGTTTGTTTGCTTATTGTCAATGGTATTGTTTTCTGCATTGTTGTTTACCTCTGTGGGCTCCTTCGGGAGGAAGGTTGGAATATGAATGTACTAATTATGTAATAATAACAACTTTGCACTAAGCAAAAAGGACGGCAATGTAAGAAATTGGGCTAGAACTACTACAGTTCATTGAAGAGGTGCAATTGAATGGTATACGGATACTGCCCAACCTGGAGGCTTAAAACGAAACAAACCTGCATGGCGTATTTGAGCTGGATACTTGAAAATGTGATGTATGGACCTTCTAGATAAATAAGTTCATCAGCAATGTTTTGCTTGCAGAGAAAACTACCTTATTCAAGTTTACAAAAAATTCTTGGTACATTCTGTGGTAGAGTCAAATAGAATCAAGCACATCAAGTATTCCTGAATAATCTCTCTCTCTCTCTTTCCCCAAAAGGAGTATTATTGCTGAGATTATGTTTTCACAAGATATCTGAAGTAGCAACTCATTTCACTGTTGCTGGACTTAAAATGTTATAATTTAAGCAGGAGATCACATGAGATTAAAGGTGCTTCCTTCTCTCCCCCCCTTGAGGGTTGGAGTATAGATAATCCTTGTATCAGAAGAAGAAAAGGGAGCACAGTCTCAAGGAAGTGTTTATTGACAGGAATACTTTTGGTGAATAGGAACTCTATATAAATGAATTTACTTGAGGAGGAACACAAGAAATGAGAGTCATGCATAAGAGAGATAATTGAAAGCATGAGATAGAAATGGAAGATCATATCAGAAATGCAAAATTAAAAGTATAAAACTTTAAACAGGATGAAAGAGAATTTGGGTTTATTAAAATATGGAAAGCAATAGATTTTGTTTGTGGGGCACAACTCACAGGAAATCTTAAAAATTATCTTATTGGAGATGCCACTTTCAATCCTAAGCACCCTTACTAAGCAGCAAGCCCTCCTGAACTCAGTAAGACTTGTTTCTGAGAAAAGCAGAAAATCAAGTTGTAACTTGCAGTTAATGCAGGTAATGGTTTTATCTTTCAGAGTGAGGGGAATTGAAAACAGCGAGATAGAAGGGGAAGAAAGCTCAGCAGCAAAATAGCTCCGAAAAGCACTGGCCCACAATGTCCTCTTTATAAAGCCATAATACAAGCTACACCTTCCCCTCACCTACTTAAAACACAATGACTTATTTGGTCACAGCAACCTTTCGAGTCCATTGCCGGGTTATTGGGACTGGTGGTTTGGGGAACATAAATGGGTAACTAACAAAGACCAAATTCCATTACTGGGTTATTTTCATTCAACAGTTTAGGACACTAAGGACAGTTCCCCACATTGGGGGGGGGGCTGTTTCTCTGCAGTATGAAATAGGGATATAAAACTCTTAAAAGCAAATCCTGAAGTTCATACCAACCTGGGAGAAGGAAGCACATTTTACTCACCTTATAAATACCCTAAAACAAATCTATCCAGCATGTGCCAAATTTTGGCATTGCTTCCTTGAAAATTTAACTCCCTTGGGAATCTTGCAGTTTGCCACCCATTCCAAGGAAGCTGCTGGAAACTGGCCAAAATGTTGATAAAGCCTTAGTGTTTTCTGCCCCTGTTGTCTTGGCTTTGGCACACTAAGGGATTCAGCTACTTTTGAACAGCAGTTCCTTGGAGTAGTCAACAGAATGAAGATCCTTCTGATGCAGTCGAGTAGGAACAGGCAGGCTAAGTAATGCAAAGAAAGGAGAACTGCTCAAGGCAGCCATTAGCATGCAGTGCTAGCAGCAGAGATTTAATAGTGTGTGTGTGTGCTCCAAATTGGTATGCTGGGCAATTATGACAGAACTTCCCTAAAATCCTTGTGTTTGTCTTGCTTATCGGCATCTTCCCCAGAATGCTGATGCAAATAACAGATCTTTTTTGGGGATAGGCCTGCCTCCTGACACAAGTAGATTTCATTCATTAACTTGGGAAAGGGGGTCAGCAGGAAATCAATGGGGCCTTTTTATCTGGCTACGCGCAGGACCATGTAAATTAATCTACCAACTATGTTTCAGCATAGTAATAACTACTTTATCACCTTTGTTACTGTTGCCTGTCCTTTACTGTGCTGCATCAGCATTTCCAGATTGGGGGGGTGGGGGGAGAGAAAACCTTAGTTCTCAATAGGAAACATTTCTTTTGCAAATGTGCCAAGTGCATATAAAGCAAGCGGGGTGGGGGTGGGAGGAGGAAAGGTTGCTTTAAGGGCCCAGTGGCATGCAGGGACGCTAAAATCAAAGAATACAGGAAGCATACCTGTCACATTACCTGTGAGTATGAGTCTAGACAGGTTGACTTTCTGGACATCACAGCACAGCTGCAAGATGGATGGTAATGTCTATCTTATGCCAAAGCCCCTCATTCCCATCCCCAGCCCACTTCTCGCTTCTATCCAAAGCATGTTGCATGTCCCATTGTTTATAACCAAGGCTGACACACTGGCATTTATTCCATTTTCATCAACAGTCACACGTGAAGGATATATATTACTTGTTCTTTAAAAGTGCCATTCCAGGCTATCAAAGCAAAGGAGCAGATTCATATGGTACTTGGAAATTGCCAATGTGGTGCCTTCTAGGTGTTGTTGGACTGCAGTTCCCATCCCCTCCTTAAGAAGACCTCATTGTACCCAGAAGTAACTCTTGCTCAGCATTTAATGTCTCATTTTTGGACTAGGTGCTTGAAAGGGTGTGTCAGGGTCCGGTCTACGGGCAATCGAAGTCCTGGCTGAGGACGTCAGGACCGGGGGCAAGATGGTGGGGTGGGAGCAGGAATGAGAGTCCAGAAGCAAGGAGTCACAAAGTCGAGGGTCCAAGGGTCGAGAAGCAGGGAGTCAGGAAGCCAAGTTCCGAGGATCAGGAAGCAAGAAGCCAAATGCAGCAAGACAGGAAACATGTTGCTGTGGCAAAGAGCCAAAGGGAAATGCTGACCTTATAGCCCTTCCTGGCTCTTGCCACCAAGTGCAGGGAGTTACCAAGTGGCCTCACCTGTGCGGCCGCGCCTTTCCTCTCCAGACCAAACCTAGGAAGGCCCCAGTCCTGCAAAGCCCTACTGGTCACAGGGCCCGACTCCTGCACACACTCCTGACAGGGTGGTTGGCGGTTCAGCTTCAAGCGGGCTTGGAAGAAAAGAGATGGTAGTCTGGGCCCTGCTCACCCTCCTGATCTCTTGGTGGCCTTTGATATTGTTAACCGTGGTCTTCTCCTGGATCCACTCAGGGAGGTGGGAATATAAGATACTGCTCCTATCTATCTATTGGTGTTGAGGGAGTTGTCCTCATCTTGTCCCCTGTGCTATTTAACAATCAGTGAAGATGCTGGGAGTTGTCATCAACAGATTTGGAGTGAGGCACCCAGCCCTGTCTCTCTGTTTCATCTGAATTAGGAGAGGCAGCCAAAGTGTTAGAACAGTGTCTGGAGGCAGTGGTAGAATAGATGTGGGCTAAAAAACTGAAGCCGAATCCTGAAAAGACAAAGGTATAATATGACCCAAGTTCTCAGTTTCAGGAGGTGGGGAGACAGACTTTTCCAGATGGTGTTGCATGCCCCTGGAAGGAACTTTTGCTGTAAGAAACAGTGGTTTCTTTGCCTCAAGCAAACACAGAGTCAAAAGCCTATCTTATGTATGAGATTTGCAGAGTGACTCTATGCATGTTTACACAGGAGTGAGTTTCACAGGGTTCACTGGAACTTGCATCCAAGAAATGTAAGTTGGATGCTGTATTAAATTGTTACAGATAGTAACTGCTTTGAAATTCAGTGTCAGCAGTTGCTGCTTGCATTTGCATGAAGCTGATCTCGCCCAGACAAGTGAATAGGCAAACAGTGGCAATTTCTTCACCCATTTCTGTTTTGGTTGGAATTCTCTGACATTCCTACTCAGTAACACTGATCATTGCAGTGGTAGACAAGCCCCGAGACTAGGCCCTGTAACAAACTATAGGGTGTCAATTCCATCCTTTTGTCTATGCGGGCAACACATAACACTGAACCTAATATCAGTTATGCCATCAGGACCAAAGTAGATCCAAGGGTGGTGGCCATATTTGCTGCCTGGTCCATCCTCACCTCACAGAGTGTTTGTTGTGGGGGAGGAAGGGAAAGGAGAATGTTAGCCGCTTTGAGACTCCTTCGGGTAGTGATAAAGTGGGATATCAAATCCAAACTCCTCCTCTTCTTCTTCTATGTATAAAAC